CTCTGTGCCCATGGGGACAGGACCTAGGTTTTGCTTTCTGTGAAAGTCATAGGTCTTGCCTCATCCCATGTCGGCTGTTCTTTGTGGATTCTGTGCTGGGTCTTTTTGGATAAGGAGGCACTGAGACCCTCAGCCCTGCTCCGAGAAGCTCACCCCAAAGAGGAACAGTGTGTGTGTGTGTGTGTGTGTGTGTGTGTGTGAGAGAGAGAGAGAGAGAGAGAGAGAGAGAGAGAGAGAGAGAGAGAGTTGGGGGTTATGCCTTGATCAAAGCAAGGTCTGGGCAAAGCAACCAAAGCAGTAGATAGTGAGAGGAAGGCTTCAGGGGGAGGTGGAATTTGAAGGGTTCTCTTCAAGGTGAGAATGGGGTGCAGAGGGGTACATTCCAGCCAAGTTAGTGCAACAGCAGTGCCCCCGGGGCCCCATGGGAGGAATGCCTGGGCCTGAGTGGCAAAGGTGGCTCGATGCAGGTTGAAGAACTGAATGCTACCCCAAGGGCAGTAGGGAGCCATGGCAGCATCTAGACGTGGAGGGGGGCTTGGTCTGGGCCCCAGTGGGAGAGGAGGAGGCTGGAATGGTGGTGTGGGCAGCCCAGAGTGGGAGGCCACCTTGCTTCCTTCCTTTCACACCCCCAGAAACAACCCAGGTGGGGCTTCCCCTGGAGTCCCCACATCTTCTAAAGGCACAACTTTGCAAACCCAGGAGGCTCTTCAGGGCCCCCGCCTGACCACTAGAGACTCCTCCTGCAGGCCCTTCCCCCAGCGGCCGCAGTTTCCTCTGTAATAGACACAGGTCAGACTTAAGGGGTTCTGTGTTCCCAATGGTGTATGGTTTGTTTGAAGTCACTCAGCCAAAGCTGGGGGGCAGAGCAAGGACTGGACCCCAGCCACTTCGTGTGTGCCCACCCCAAACACAGACACTCCCAGAGCCCCAGCCCACAGGAGCTTGGCTGGAGGCGTGGCTGGGTCCCCAGAGGACTCCGAGGAAATCCGCAGGAGATTGAGCCTCTGATTCTGACTTTCTTCTTTCTCTTTCTGACTTGCCCATCCACAAAACGGGAATGTTCCCATCTCATATGGTTGGTTGGAGATGAATGCGGCAGTGGATGTACATATTGCTCCAACATGAGAAAGTCTCTCCCTCCAACTCCTGTTCACTTCAAAACCCAACACAGATTTTCCGTCTTCAGTGCAGCCCCAGCACAGTCTGTGGCTCTTCACTGTTCTTTGCTCTCGGCTCTCCAGCCCTTGATTCTGCCCTCTGCCCCTACCCTGACCCTATGAGTCTGGAGCGTCTGTATCTGCCTCTGTCTTCCCCTCCACCAGACAAGTGGGGTCCTCCCTGGGACGCAACATTTCTCAGTGTGAGGCACACTGGGAACGTCGTTGAATAAATGAAAAGAGGAAGGGAGGGGGCAGGGAGGGAAGAGATGCAACACTGGGGAGCCAGAGGTAGAGGAGGGAGAGAGGGCACTCCGCGGAGACCTTGGTGGGGCAGATGGAAAGAGGAAGCTGGAAGGAGGTGGGCAGAACCAGAAGGGTGGGCAGGGGTGACTGGAGAGGTGGGGGTATGGGGAGACCTGGCTCCCCCCCCCCACACACACCTTCTCAGGGTTCCGGTGGGCGGGCAGGGCCTGGCCAGTGGCTGGCGGATTGCCTGGGAGTGGGGCTCAGAGAGTGAGGCGCTGGGCCTCAGCTTTCTTGCTGCGTATGCGCCCCTGTGCGCCCAGGGCCGGCAGTGCGGGCCACAGCACATGGATGCCAGCCAGCCTGGTGTGAGTCTCTAGGCCGGTGGGTAAGGCGGGGTACAGGGCTGTGGGGTGTGGATAGCTGGGCCTTCAAGCCTCGGCGTTTGAGTGGGGGACTGGAGAGGAGGGGGCTGCCCACCTGGCTTCTGGGAGCAGACCAGGACCTCCTCCTCCTGCCAAGCTGACCCTGGAGGGGGAAGGAGCCTTGCAGTAGGAGGTGGAAGACCCAGGCTCTGCAGCCACAGCTGAAGGCGCAGTTGGTGAGCAGGTACCCAGGCCATGAGAATGGGGTGAGGGTTGAGGGTGCTGTGTTGGGGGCAGGTTCCCTCCTCGTGGCCCCCTCCCTTGTTCCCTCTCTTGGCTCATCCATCTCTAGAAGATTATATTTAAATATCTCTTTTGTGCAAGGCAGGAGCTAGGCTCGCCCCTAAGAGGCAGTTTCCATGGTAACAACAATTGCCAGCTTCCATGTGGTGAATCAGTGTTGCCTTGGCAACCCCATCCTCATCTGCCCAAGGTGCTGGGAGGGGGGAAGAGGTGAGGGCCAGTGGAGGTGAGGTGGGAGGGGTGGGGAAGCAGGAGGCTGATGCTCAGGTACCCCCTTTCCCCCCGTTTCTTTTCACCACCTCAGTCTGCCCCCAGCCCAGAATCTGGTCCCATCTGGTTGAAATCATCTCCCCTCCTGCCTCCAGCTAGCAGGGTGTGGTACCCAGGTGGAGAAGGCTCAGTGTGTGCGTGTGTGTGCGTGCTGTGTGTGTGTGTGTGCGTGTGTGTGTGTGTGTGTGTGTGTGTTGTGGGGGG